GAGAGAGAGAGAGAGAGAGAGAGAGAGAGAGAGAGAGAGAGAGAGAGAGAGAAACGGAATGGTAGGAAAATGTGGGAAAAATTGGAAAAACAAAATATTGAGGCTTTCACAATACTTGACTCACACACCCTACCTTATCACAAACTGGGGCCTGGCAGCATCATGTCATGCCAGGGAAGACTTCACATCCCACCTTGGCATTCCTCACGAGTAGCCACCGGCTGTGCCCCGCGTTTACCCCATGCTCTCCTTCCCTCCCCTTCCCCCCTCCTCTCTCCCTCTCTCTTTTCCTCCTTACATCTTTCAAAAGGTCAACTCTGCATTCCTATGCCTCTAACACTCCCTCCCTCCCTCCCTCCCTCCCTCCCTCCCTCCCTCCCTACCATGCCGAACACGGTCAATTGTGCACCTCTACGCTTCTAACATCCTTCCTTCGTCTACAGCTCTCACTGCCATCTACAACACTCTCTCCACTTCTCAATTCTCTCCGCACACCGCAAAAAAGCATGGATGACCTCATTTGAATGGAACTCAAAAGAGTCGATATCTTTCCCTTCCGATGTACAAATGATACTCGTCAACAGGTCGGCCCTCCTGTTCGTACTCCATCTCGTCTCCAACTCCAAAACTACGAACACATGGAAGGCTCGGCCTCGTTAAATAAAAGTGCCTTTTAAAATTTAAAATTTAAAATTTAAATTTGGATAGTACGGGTACGAAATTCAGAACACAGCATGATGCACAGATTATTTCAGTGAATATCAATCACTATATGCAGTTTAATTCTTAACTAATAATAAGTTAACCTTGAAAAAATGACAATGATTATTATGAATTTAATATTTTATCAAATTTTCATGATGACAATAAATACTAAATCGAAAAGAACAGATACTTAATACTGATCCAAAACGCTCGGTGAACGTATTCGGATTTATAATCAGTTATTTGATTGGCAAATAACTTGAAATAAAATCTAGGAGACAAACTGCCCAGACTCATTCAGTCAGAAATACACGACAGACGTAAACTTGGAAATACACCAGAGGGCCAAAGGCATGGGCTGTCTTATCTCTGGTATTATCCACATATATATATATATATATAAATATATCCATCTTTCCTGAGTGTATACGATGTACTATATGTGCATGCATATATCCGTCTTTCCGGAAGATATACGTGCACGCCGAAATCAACCAATTGACAACCGAGTCTAGCCCTCGAGTAAAGTACAATAAGTCAAATGTTCTCTCAGAGATCGCACAAAAAAAAAAAAAAAAAAAAAAAAAAAAAAAAAAAAAAAATCGTTCACCGTAGTGACAGGTCAGTCTTCGCCATTTTCCACCAAGGAAAAAAAAAAACTGCGGTCCGTCTTTCACTTGAGTTAGACTTCACGATAATTTATCGGCATTTCGACCTCGCCCGCAAAGTAGTATATAGACTGGTCTCTTGTGCTTGTTGTCAGGCTTCAGAAAGCTCAGATGATGCTTACCTATGGATGCAGGAGCATGGAAAGTTCAGTCTAGCCTTTTCAACAGCACATCGTGGATGCACAAACGTACCGATCGCACAAAATCTGCCTCAAGGGTCACGGCATAAAGAAGGTCGCCTTTCAGCCTTCCAATGAATGCAGAAGCTGATGCTTGTAGAAACCTTCCTTGAGAGAGAAATAAGGTCATGGCATAAATAAGGTTGCCTTTCGTGAAACCAGCAGTTTCTCGACGAAAAATGACTCAGCTTGCAAAAACGTAACGCGCTCCACATTAGGAGATCCTGAAACACTTCCGATGAGCTACATACCAGGTAAGTTGAGATGACACAGATACACGCACACACACACACACAAAAAAAAAAGGACCACAGATGCATGGTAGGCAGCAGAGCCCCCAAGAGGAGGGGCTGCGGGGGCACAGAAACACGTGCCAGGCGACTGGCACCGCGAAGGGGCAATTCGCGCATGGAAATTTCTGTAACAGTTTCCACAGTTGGTAAGGCGCACCAACACAGCTCGTCCACTGTTGATTAATTCAGGCTGAGAAGACAGCAATATCTTCTCACCTCTCCCTCCCCTTCCCGGTATGCCGATAAGATAACACTATCTTCATCCGCTGGCGGAAATGCTGGTCTCAGCTCGATAGTGTAGTTGCAGCAAAGAAGTCGGATCGCACGATCGCAGCGTGTTCTTGGAGTACAGGCTCAGGAGAGAAAACTGTGTATCTGGCTCTAGTACCATCATCAATTCGTATGCACGGACAATGCTATCCATGAAGTCTTGACGGAAATCATATTGATTCAGCCAGCATTACAGCCACCAGGTTAGTCGATCGGCTGTGTGGAATCACCGATGATGTCATCGGTAATTCCGATGATGTCATCGGTAATTCCTTATCAAATGATCAATGGGTTTACCTCCTTGTTTGTTTACCCCGATTCCCATCCGGCGGTGTCGATGCGGAATCGCAAACATGAGACTGAGCTGCACGGCATCCATCTCGTTGCGTTCCCGATGAGGATGCGGTGCTGTACATTTGCAACACAAAGGCGTGCCTGTGCACTGACCAGCGTTCCTCTATGCTCGCCGCACAAAGGTGTACCTGTGGGGTGTCCCACGATACGGCGCGCCTGTGCACGGAGCAGCGAGGTTTGTCTCACAAGCTGTCACACCATTAGGCACTGCCCGTCCCGTCATATTTGCAAGGCATTGCACGCATGGAGATGCCTTGTAGACTGTGAAATGAGTCTCTTCCCACAAACTGTCCCACAATAACTGCAGGCAACACCACCAATGCTGATGGAATCACTGTCAATCACCATCGTCTATTCCGAGGATGGATGGATGGATGGACGGATCTGAACGCAGTTTGATGATGCTTGTCCTTGTTGCCGACCAAGTCAAACTTCTCCAAGTATGACCAGAGCGGTAGCCACTAACTGCCAAAAAACGATAAACGCTAATTGCGAAGACGCCCTTCCGCTCTCGTCGCCATAGAGTGGGGTCGGTCACCCACCCCACTTACTTCATGACTGCACAGCTGAAAACGCAAAGCACCCTGGTAAGACTATATCACGGAGAACCAGGCTCCGCTGGTGCTATGTTCGTGCTAGAAAAGCATGAACATGGCCATCATCACGGACTTATTCATGCTTTGATAACATGAACATAGCACCAGTGGGGGCTGGCCCTGAATCGCATCCTTTACGGCTGTTGCTAGAGGGGCTGGGGAAATACATATGCTTCCGTAAGCCCACCGTTCCTCTTTGCAACACACCATAAAACGAAAAGCACCCAGGTAGGTGGGGCTATCACTGAACCAGATCCTAGGGACTCCTGATAGGGCGCTTGGAAAGTAGTACGCTAGCAAACGCGCCATCCGTGGTCGCAAACCAACTTCGGAACCCTGGAAGAGATCAATCGTAAAACAGCCACGCCATCCCGGATTGCATTTTGCTGTAGCATCTGTGCCTCCTCACAACACAGTTGTCCTCCGACAACGACAGGGAGTCCGTGAGCCATCTGTCCGTTTCCATGGTAGACCAGACCCGGAACTTTTCGCCGAGCCAACTGTCGCAGCCCCGAACACACTCATGGCCCGAGTCGCAAGGGAAGAATAGTATTTGCCCGGAAGCCAACATTGTGCAGTGCCCTCCTGGAAGATGCGAACCACATCTCACAGAGAACTACCGTCTTCACCCGAATAGACCGTCCGGTCATTATAGCTGTATTTGGCACAACTTTCGGCCCAGATGCGGCGATAATGACCCGGCGTTCTATTCACGTGAAGACGGTAATTAGTAATTACACACTCGTTGCCCGAGTCACAACGGCAGAATAGAATTGCCCGGAAGCCAACATCGTGCACGGTTCTCGTGCAAGATGCAACCTCAACTCACCGCGAACTAATCACACACTCATTGCCCGAGTCGGTATGGCAGAATAGTATTATTGCCCGGAAGCCAACATTGTGCAGTGCTGGCCTCCTGGAAGATGCAACCACAACTGGCCGCGGACTGATTTGCGCTTTTGCGCTAACAAGAAATCTCCCTGGACCACGACTAAGCCATTGGTTATTTCTACCATCTGGCCTAGCTCAGCTGGTACACCCATGAGCTGTTAAAATACAGACCTGAGTTCAAAATTGAAATCCAGATGCAACCAGATGAACAGAATAAGAGAATTCTGCATTACCTGGGGTTGGTAAGCACAACGATGCTGCTTATTCTCATTACTGGTCACACACAATTCTGTCTCCCATGCCGGTCTTCTGTGCGTAACAGTAACTCTGTCTGTATCTGTCGTTTACGGAATGACCGCATTCGACATCACCACAGGGTTGCGATGTTTGTGCACAGAAGGTCGGTTCGTACCGGCGAGCTACGGACTAATGGCAACAGACATCACCGCACTCGTGGCCCGCTGCAAGTCTTCTCATTTGCCGCCAGCGTTGACGGTGGCCATTTTACAACCGTCGTCCAAGCGCATGCGGGATCTCCCGAATCACACAAAACAAAATTTCCGTTCCGGCGCGCATTGCCATATGATGGTGCTTCAAACAACACAGACAAGTCACTGATCTGGGACGGACTCGTCTGAGCAGTCGGCGATCAATCATAGAAACCCACTTTTAGCTACACTGCTGCTTGGCTTTTCTCGCAACACACCACTTGGTGGAATGCTACCCCGCAGAAGACCGCTCTTTGCTACACTGCTGCTAAGCATCCCACTCTTTGCAACTCCGCTTTGCAACATCCCGCTCTTTGCCACACCGCTGGCAAGAAATCCGCTTTTCGGAACACCGCTTCCTAGGAATCCACTCTTCGGCACACTGCCGCCGCCGCCGAGAAATCCACTCTTGGGAACACCGCTGCCAAGGAAGCCACTCTTGGGCACAGCACTGCCAAGGAACCCACTCTTGGGAACCGCGGGACCACCTACTTCCCTCCCAACTGCATCCGCTTCGGTATCTGGAAACAGCGGCACAATGTCGTCCTCTTCCATGATCGGATCTGGGGGCTTGAACAGTGGAGGGATTACAGAAGGCCTGCTCCTCATCCTCTTCACGGTCTTCATCGCGTTCGCCGCGAAACGAGCAACGCGCATCGCCGTTCCTAGAGAAAGATTCATGTCTTGCATTGCCGCTTCCTGCATCATCTGCCTTCGCTTCCGATCCCTCGCCTTTTTCCGCCTCCATGCTGCTTGGATGCTGCACGCTGCCCACGTCCTCCACTGAAGGGAATGGTACCTAAGCGTCCGCATGAACTCCTTCCGGTGGAGCCGCTTAAACTGCGATGCCACATATTTTAAGTCCGTAACCTCCAGCGCAAACGCTTCCACGTCCACCAACGCCGTGATCGTCCTCGTCGACGACGGCAGGTGCTCTCGCCTTGTCCGGTCTAGACACCACGTCAGCAACTCCTCCCCACAGAAACTTCCTGCCTGGACCAAACCTGTGTTTAGGAAACCCGTGCGGCCACCATTTGTCGTGCTACTCTCCAAAACACCGCGAATGATAAATAGCATGAACTTCACCGGATCTCCTTCATGAATAACCACCGAATCTTGAATGAAGATTGTCGGTCTCAAAAGCACGCATATGGCATCTAAAAGCTGTTCATCCATTCCATTGAACAGAGGGACCTGCATTGCAAATATAACCCCACAAAAAAAAGTCACAAGTAACGCAGAGAAATTCAGCATGGCTAGCTAGATGCATTAATCCTGAGCCCAAAAAGAGCTGTGTTGTTGCCAACCAAAAGCCTCGTCCAATGGTAACCCCCATGGGACCTCGAACTGTGGAGATAAGAACTGAAAAAAAAAAGTTGGACCCGCCGGTCGCGTCGGAGTGGGTACGGCCACACATGGCAGGAAGTCACCCACAGAGGGTGGAAGGTAAGACTTTGGGTGGAAGATACTCTCTCTCTCTCTCTCTCTCTCTCTCTCTCTCTCTCTCTCTCTCTCTCTCTCTCTCTCTCTCTCAAACCTGTCACCACTCTTAAGTTTCTTTCTGCCTTTTTTGGATGTCTGTGACCTTGCCACGTAATTCAGAGGTATTCTATTCATTTGGTCCCGGCAGGATTCGAGCCTGAACGGTAACAGGTCATGCGTGCACCATTCCGTCACATGGGCCTGTTTTTTTTTCTATTTCTCTTTTTCGGCAGCGTCCGAGGGTGGTGTCAGAAGCGGCGTTAGATTCGGGTCTGACATGAACAAGATGAACCCCAAACCGAAGAAGAAAAATGAAAAAGAACAGCAGCGAAAGAGACCGAGGCAAAACAAAAACAAACACAAACGAAAACCAACAAACAAAAAGAACAGCAGTGCCATGATCTGTGACCGCAAAAGAAACTACTTCTCCTCTGACACGAAAACCAACTCCGTTACACTGTCAATCGCAAAGAGACATCAATCTCAATAACACTTAGGGCCTCGCCACACCAGTGTCGAAAAGGGAAAAAGACAAAAATGTGGCGATCGCATCCGGCCATGTTCTAGCGGGAAGTTCATTCTCGCTTTGCACATTTCGAGAGTGGTGTGGCGATGCCCTTATCGTATGTCTCCGTGAGTCAAAAAGAGGTATGCACATGAAAGCCACCCGCGGCCGAAGAAAAACTTTATAGGTTTTAGAAATTTAGAACCGTTACATAGAAAAACAAAAAAAAAGACAATAGACGGGTCATGAAAAGATAGGCCGAAGAGGACGAAAACACACACATTCTAAAAGGGTATCCCAGGAAATAGTCCAGTGGATGTGTGTTACATGCAAGGACTGTTGCAGGTTTCTGTCCGACAGCTTGCTGCGAAACGCTTCTGAGTTTGTCTATGTTGTGTGATCTTTGCTTCAATTTCCTGAAATTCATTCCTTAGAATCCTCACACAACTATACCTACTTAATCTCTTTCTGCCTGAGTCACGGAGAGGGACATCCGTGCAAACTTCCTGTGTTCAGACCTGAGTCACGGAGAGGGACATCCGTGCAAATTTGAAAGTCCTGAGGGACAGACAGTACGTTAGAACGGCCAAGTATTCGGGCGACAAGTAACAAACTCGGACAGTACAGGGACGTAGGTAAGACTTTGAGTGCCGATGCAAAGCGTCTGCTCTTCGAGCCTTTAGGAATGTGCTTTTACGGCATGCTCTGTTTCCAGTACTGTTCCCAGTTGAAGGCAAGCCATATGACCCTGGTGTGAAGTTTGGTAGCATGCACACATGCGCAATTCCATCTCCTACCGCAACACACTCGACCGATTTCATCTACTCGCCTGTGGCAGGTTTTCGTTGTTTCGATAAATAAAGGTAAGACTTAGGATTCTTAGGACCCGAGTCCTGTGACAGATTTGCACAGCAAATAGTATTTACTATTTAGTACTTACAGAAGTTGGACAGTAGGGCCTAGCTCAGTTGGTACAGCCACAAAGATGTTGAAATATAGACCGGAGTTTGAATCCAGATACAATCAGATGACAGGACAAAATCATTCTGAACTATACCTGGGGCCGGTCCGTGAAACGGAGGAAAAACAAAAGGACTTACAGAAGTGTGGACAGGACAAGGACAGAAGTTGGACAGTAGGGCCTAGCTCAGTTGGTACAGCCACAAAGATGTTGAAATATAGACCAGAGTTCGAATCCAGATACAATCAGATGACAGAAGAAAATCATTCTGAACTATACCTGGGGCCGGTCCGTGAAACGGAGGAAAAACAAAAAAGGACTTCGAGAAGTTGTGGACAGGACAAAAACATAAAGGTAGGGAGATGGGACTGCGGCTTTGGAGCAATTTTTTTCTTTTTTATTTCCCCTTTCTTTTTTCACAGTGAATCGTATATGGGGTGGATCGCAGTGTGTCGACTGGATGGCACTGTGTGGGCTGGCTGGTACACTGTAGGATAACATGGCCATGCCACGTGGGCAGGGTTGTACAGACAACCAAAAAAAAAAAAAAAAAAACACCCAGAAAGGGTCAAGCCGATGTGGATGAATCATAGACACCCGATCTCTTGATATAGGGCCTCGCACCTCACTCCACTACTCAAGATTCTACATGCATTTGGACGCCCCTGTCGACCAGGTACATTCGGTGTAGTGGAGCGACTCCAGACACATATGAGAGTGGTGTAGTGGATCGAGGCCCATGAACACGATCTCGAGTCCTAAAGAACGAAGAAAAGTAACAAAATAACTCTGGATTCGACCTTGTCACCTGGTTGTCAGGTGTTGCAGGTCTTCCTCCTATCCGAGCCAGGCTGCTATGTACTCGTATTCGAACATGCAGCGAAGGGTCTCATCGCACTGCTCTCAAAACAACAGAGCCTGTCCGGCAAAAAAAAAACAGAACCGTGTCAAACAGAAAATGACAAAAAAGCCTTTAAAAAGGAGCTACGGGAACCCGCGTGGGAAACCACAAACACAAAACTGAACCTCATTCGAACTTGTGACCTGGACGCGCCTGGTACCGACCACCTCTCGGTTCGAGCAGGCCGCCAATCCCCACGCGGCAGTTTTTGTTTTCACTCTACTTCTTCCTTGGGCCCGCACAGGACCCATGCCCTTTCCCGACACTGACTGCGAGGTCTACCGTGGGAGCGTCATGCGAGACCCTCGTCTTAACTTTTACATATAGATAGACGAAAGGAAAAGGAGTTAACCATTCCGCAACGCCGACCTACCTTGCGCACGAGATCCAAGCACAGATGTCTTTTAATATCCCTTCTCAGCTCTGGGGGCAACTCTCGAATTCTCTCTTCTTCGTCAACGCCCCTCGTCGCTGACCAGCTGAAGTGTTCAAATCTGCGCACACGATCCTGTAGCTCCTTTGGCAATTGCCTATGCCGCAACCACTGATCGATATCTCTCCTGTGCACTCTCATCTCCTCCAGTTTGCGGGTGAGAGACAACAGATATGTCTGCAAGTCACAATCACCGTGTCACACACAAATAAATGCAACAAAGCGCGTAACAAAAAACGCAAGTCAGTGCTAAAACAACACAGACCGGGAATGTGGAAGGTGGGGAAGCACCCAGAAAACCCGCTTATTTGGTGGCAGCGAAGTTGGTGAAGCACTGTGAAACTGATTGCCAATAAAATTTGGTGAAAACCCGCTTATTTGGTGGCAGACAAATATGCACACATAGATACCAAAAAAAAAAAAAAAGATATTTTAATTTCCCATTATTTCGTTTGATAACATGTACTAGGGAGAGAGAGAAAGAGAGAGAGGGAGGAGTGGGGGGGAGTGAGCAGGGGATTGTGGACGAAGTGCGCGTGCTGCTGCGCATGCGTGCACGTGAGAGAGAGAGAGAGAGAGAGAGAGAGAGAGAGAGGCGACGGCACGACCAGTACGGCAGGCGCCAACGCGGAAAGGCGGGAAATTCCCGCGCAAAGGCGACACCGCAACGGGCAGAGCCCTACCATACGGCTGGAAAATCAGTCCCGATTTTTTTCATTTTTCTTGTGGTCCGACGCTTTCTTTCATCCACACAACGGGATTCGTACTCGGACACTCATGTCCGGTTGTGGGCCCGCGCAGTCCCAAACATATTTCCAACTCCCTGACAGGCCGACCCTGGCCTGAGTCCTCTGTTTGCATCTTGTGGCAACAGTTTTTTTTTGCTGCAAGGCTGGGGCTGTGTACTTGCGGTTTAAGCTTGTTTGTTGACAGTTCTTGTATTCAGGGGGGCAGAGCGCGTCGAATGGGAGGCGAGATAACATGGAATGAAGGGGAAGAGAGCGCAGAATGGGGAGGAAGATGGTGTAGAGTAGCGACGGCCGAGAGAGAGGGGGGAGGGGAGATGATCGGAGGGAGAGAGGAAATTTGAAGAGTGAGGGGAGAGCACGCCCCGAATGTAGGGGGACAGCACAAAATGGTGGGGGAGAGCACGCGGAATGCGCAGGAAGATGCCGAAACAGCGAGGGAAGATAGAGAGGAAGGAGGGGAGGAAAGCGGAGAGAGGAAAAAAAATTGAAGGGCGAGGGGAGAGCCCACTCTGAATGCAGGGAGACGTAGCACAAAATGGCGGGGGAGAGCACGCGGAATGCGCGGGAAGATGCCGGAATAGCAAGGGGAGATAGAGAGTGGACTGAAGAGTTTTGAAGGGAGGGAGAAATCTTGTGCGGGAGGCGAGAGAGTTCGAACAGGGGAGAGAGGAAGCTCCAAAAGAGCAGGAGGAGGGC